GAGTTGTTAGGTGTGGATAATTAGATTATAGTTTATTGCAATAGCAAGTTGTGCCTTGTTCTCACATAGACAGCAAGTGGAGAGTGATATATGAAAAGATGGGATGGAAGGAAGAAGAGAAGCAAAGAGTGAATCACAGGCAGAGCCTAAATTATTTCTCACAGTTTTTTGTTGCCTTATGGTTCCAAGCGCTGTCACCAATCTTTGCATTTTGTTATTATCTCATGACACTTGTTTAATCAGCTACCATCTCTCCTATGGACTTTTTAATGTCTACAGTCTCAGATCAACACAGCCCTGCCCTTCCCATATTAGATTCTTTAAACCTCTCTGCATGGCCCTGGATTTATTGACTCTCAAACCCAAAAGTCTGCTTTTGATTTCAGTAAATGCAACAGGATGCAGTCTTGCCTGTCCTGAGATTTGTAGAGAATAAAAGAGGATGTCGTGCAGCAAAGCAGAAAGAAAAAATAGATCTGTCAGTAGGCAGTTATAAAACATAATTCAATTCAGTTTTTTACATAGCTCCAAATCACATCAACAATATTAAATGAAATTTTGTTTTTCAGTGGTGGAATATTAAGTACTTAACTAAGTACATTTACTCTATACTGTACTGATAAAGAGTAATTCACAGGTAGCCTGTTTTACTTGAACCTTTGGCCTCCCCTTCATGCCTCTTTCTATTGTTGCTTTACTACATTTTATAATTTACTTCATTATCTGACGGTTTTTTATTATTTTTGGACTTTTGTATGTAAAACTTACAAATAAGTCACCCAGCTGTGCGTACAGTACAACTGAAATTATTAGAGGTTCATCAATTTTTGTTTTTTGTTTTTAGACAAAATAAAGAACTAGACAGAGTCATACAAATGCCCTCAAAATTTAAAATAAAAGCATATGAAATGGTCATTTTTATTTGTTTTATTTCATTATTAAAATATGTTGCAGCAAAACAGACAAAAGGCAGTCTCCCTGTAGCAGAAGGATAAAATGATATGGTTTGAAAATACCTTGTCACTGCTTTCCTCCTCCCTTCGCACAGATCAACATGCTTGGGCGTGGAGCACATCGTTTTTCTGGAATATTTTGAGCAAGCCTGGATGCAGCTGCAGAAGCTTCAGTTTAACAGATTATTGTTGCCATTGCTGTGATTCTTAGATGTAATACACTGATTTTGGTGAGTAAATGTTTTCTTTTATTCAAACTTTTTTTTGTGCCTTCCTCAGTAAATCAAGGGGGCGTGGCCTGACGCCTGTCACTCACTGCTCTATGAAGATGAATGGCAGATGATGCTGCGGAGCACGGGCTGTGAAAAATAAGCCCATGTAGCTAAATCCTGTGTTTTTCTTTTTTTCGTTTTTACTATTTGGTGTTGTTGCTGCACTTCGTCACGCCAGCATTTAAGCAATCTGTTCTAAGATGATTTTATATTTATATACAATTATTATTATTGCTATTAAAAAGGATACCAGCCCATTCATACCGGCTGTCCCTGTTACTATATGTGCTAGTCTAATTTGGTTGTATGAGGTCTACATTGACTTTCTGTGTTTTTATAATGCTTGCACAGCCATTAAGGACCAAATCAGCTTCTAAATAATTTCCTGTTTTTTCTCCCCCTACTTGCTTCTTACTGTCTTTGAGAACAGCACTCCCCACATATAATCGAACTCTTACAAGTCTAGAAAAGGAGCTGTTGGACAGAAAGACTTCAACTGAGTGGTAAGTATTTTGGTTTTCCAGTTTATTAGTAATAATCAGTGTCATTTATATTAATCATGCTGAACTAATCATACTTTAGATCAACCAGTTCATCTGCGCTTTGGTTTGAGGAAGTTGTTTCTTTACTGATCTTTTCCTGTCTTCTGTTATTAGAGATATGACCGCTCTATGCTGTTGCTGTTTATTTACGCAGCATGTCTTGTAGAATTTACTGGAGTAAATACAAACAACAGTTTGTGGGATATCATCTTTCAAGAAATGCAGACCAAACTTAGTTTAGAGAGTCCTGCAGATCATCAGAATGAAAAGTTTTTAAAAATCTGCTTTCATGACATTATTGTGTTTCAGGTGGTGCTCAGGGCTGTCTAGACTGACAAGAGGGACATTGAATGTCATCTCTCCGCTGGGTAGGGAGCCTGAACTAGTGTGTGTGGTTGAGAGATACTCAGTTGTTAGCTGAGTTTTCTACTAATCTCCAGCTGGGGGTGAGTTGGACCAGGTGGCAGGGGAGCATGATGGACAGACCTAGAACCCGACAGCATTCTAAGGGAGGCTGGAGACATTAGTCGGAAAAGACAATGTTGAGGCTACAGCAAGATGGTTGGTGGCTGTGTTGGTGGTAATCACCATTAAGCTGAAGAGCGGTCCTGTTGGACTTGGTTAGCCATGAGGTGGTGGCCTCAGGCACTCACAGCGTTTCATAGCTGAGTGTGGAGTGGCAAGAATGAGATTTACCAAATCTGTGGCCACGGTCCTCAGCTGGAAAAGGGTGGAGTGCCCACTCTGCATCAGGGATAAGTTGCTGCCCCACAAGGAGGCAGCTGCAGTGAAGATATCAGTCCTTCGTGATGAAGAGTCATTCAAGAGGGGCTCAGAGTAGAGCTGCTACTCGTCCACATCGAAAGGAGCCAGTTTGGGCATCTGAGAAGGATGCCTCCATGGTGAGGTGTTCTGGGCATGCCCCAGGACTGGGACATGATGGAATCCCCCTGTTTAAGCTGGAAGAGGTGGTCGGGCAGAGGGAGGTCTGGGATTCTCTGTGGATAAGTTTATATCAAATTTAGTAGTTTCTGGTAATAGTGTAATAATGCAGACAGATTGTCTAATTTGACATATATTTTATAGCAAATTTAGAAAAAAATGTTTAGGAAAGCAAAGATGTTGATGTTCTAAAGAATAAGATTGTTTTCATGCAGGACACAGGAGCCCTGACTAACCCGTCACCAAACCGGTCAGGTCAAAGTTACAGGCAGCATAATGTTCTTCACTGCTTCTGCAGACCCTTTAACGTCTGTAACATGTATTCAGGGTGAACCTGCTCTTATCTGTAAAAAGCTCCAATTCTGCTATCCTATGGGGATTATTGGATGACAGTCATTCACACCAGTGTCCTGCTGGAGGTCATTTGCAGCTCTGACAGTGTTCAGCATTCAACACAGTCTCATGACAGTTTGTGAAACAGCGATGAGACATGTAATAAATATACTGATGCATTTCTGAATGCAGATTTTCCAGTCTTTTTGTTCTCAGAAATTTAAATTTGAAAAGGGTATTTCTCTTAATGTCTTTGTATTATTTTTTAATTAAATTATCGGTCACTGCGTTCTGTATGTCAGCATGGTAGATTTCTTTAGATTCCTAAATCCAGAATAAAAGTCCCTTGGCATACATGCTACAAGCACATCTGCCAAAGTTGTTTTAAGTTCACTAAAAAAAATCCCAAACACGGGTGCATTAACATTTTAAGATGAGCTGCAGGGGTTTACCTCTTTTCACTTCAATGATCAACAAAATATGTAATTTGCCCGGAGGGTGTTGGATGTTATACACAGATGCAAGAAGGGATTGTATTATGCATTCAGGTGTCACATAGGCTTTTTTTAGTGCTGTTTCCTTAAGGCTGATTTCATCCACAGGGCGATATGATTCACCTTTCAGGTACTAAATAACACCTTGTGGAATAACATGCGTGTTGTGTTCAGTTCTGCTCAAATATGAAGCTCTGTGACTGAGACACTAATCATTTAGAGTGTTAGAAAAAATGGTTTTATGTGAGTTTGAGAACTAAACAGTGCAAAATTCTTTAGTTTTATGTTCAGAAAACAGTTCTGGTTTCATAGAAACTTTCAGTGTACTTGCTGCTTAAGGTCAAAAGCATTTCAGCCTTAATGGAAAGTGTTTCTCTTTCCAGGCTGATCCAAGCATCCCAGACAAGGTACTAGGTGTCCACATCTTCTGATCGATGCTTACATCACTACTACTACCATTTACTGATAATAATAATAGCACTGATGATAATAATGATGAGGAGGGAAACTGTCAGTGGTCTGTGTTCATCCAGGTGGAGATGTGGATCTAAGTGCAGGACTCAGAGACGGAAATGTAACTGAAAACCTCTTTATTGCTGGCACCAAACATGAAAACACAAACTGGACCATACAGGCAGGATCTGAGGGTACGACGCAGCACTGAGCACAGGAAGACACAGGGCTAATATACACAGGGAGGTAATCAGGGAATGGAAGACAGGAGGGAGACACAGCTGGGAGAGATCAGGGCTAACGAGACAGGGAGAGCGAAGCTGGGCACACTAACATAAGACACAGACCTTCACAATAAAACAGGAAACCACACTTTACCAAGACATGGGCTAGACAGAAAGGCAGACTTGACACTGAACAAAACCTAATAATACAATAATAAACCCAGTATCACAAAGTAAACAGCATATAACTCATAATCCCGAGAAATACCATGAACATAAGAACTAATCCCTCACCAAGAATAAGACATATTTATAATCATAATCAAAGCAGCAGAGAATAAGAAATAATCCATAATGCAAAAATAAACCAAAACACAAGAAACTCAAAATGCTGGGTCGAACTGACCCAGGACCGTGACAGAAACAAACAAAAGGGGTGGGAGGGTGAGACCTAGAAAGGTAAGACTGGACCATGAGGATGGCTCAGCATGATCGTTATTAGGAGTACCATGTTGCATCAGTAAGGGAGTGGTAATTGATGGCCAGGCCAGTAGTGACTCTGTTCTTGTTCATTCTTTGAAACCATTCTTTGATTTTTATCATGTTGTAGTGTGCATATAGTGCACAACTATGCTGATCTAGATCACTTAGATCGCTTTGGATTGCCCCCAGACCCCAAGGAAAAAGGGGTCAGCTCTAAGAGAAATAAGCTCCCAGACCCTAAACAGGGAGACTGTTTATTACTGAGCTAGTCAATTGTTGAATCTATATTGGTGAGCTGGCCTACCTTCCCACAACACCTGCTCCTGGATGTTGCCACAACGGTCTAGGTCTAACCCACTCAGCTACACAACAATCAGCAATAACCCTCCACATCTTCTCGAGCTCTTCTCTGAGCCCTTGGTACTTCTCCAGCTTCTCATGTTCCTACTTCCTGATGTTGCTGTCATTCGGTATCGCCACATCTGTCACTGCAGCTGTCTTCCTCTGCTTGACCACCACTATGTCCGGTTGGTTAGCGATCACCAATTTGTCCGTCTGTATCTGGAAGTCCCACAGGATCGAAGCTCAGTCATTGTTGTTGGTGGCGTCTCCCATTTTGACCTCAGGACTTCCAGACCATACAGATGTTTTTGTGTACAATGTCGGCCACTTGGTTATGGCGTTCTATATATAATAATTGTATATTTATATATTATATATAGCATTCCATATAGAGAGAGATTATGCAATTATATGTTAAGGTGTAAATTTAGATACAGGTACTAATACAAATATTGTTTCTGATAATAGTAGTGATAGCAATAGTAATAATAATGCTTAGGATAGTGATAACAACAATCTTATTAATAAAAAAGAATATTAATAAGAACCTCTGATAAGATCTCAAACCGTTTTCTTGAACATGACAGTTTACTGAACTCAGAAGGCCTCCACAGTCACCTGATCTCAATCTCCGAGAGCTCTGTTGGGCTATGGGGGAACAACAGATTGGCATCATGGATGTGCAACTGTGTGACGCTATCATATCAATATGGACCAAAGTTTTGCAGCTTGGTGAATCTTGTGCCATGAAGAGTTACAGCAGTTCTGAAGGCAAAAGTTGTCCAACCTTATACTAACAAGTGGTACCTAATAATGTGTCTGATGAGTGCATATTATAGAGAGGATAACCTCACAAAGATGAATAGTGCGTAAAAAGGAAGTAGAGACAGTAGACAGTAGATTTTAAAAGTAAGTAGATAATATATATATTTTTGGCTTATGCATGTATAGTTTGGGGCTATTTCAAAATAAAAGCCTCCAAACCCCACCGTTACAGAGCCTCGGAGCTTCTGTATGGCGTCTGGTACAAATGACTTGAACTCAGTCTCCTCAAAGCTGTGACAGAGAATTATTACTTGGAAAGCCTTGCTGTCATTGTGGCCACAAGATGGCAGTGTTACTCCATCTATTAACTCCACCCCTGTGTTCCTGTGGCTCTGTCTTTGATTTCTTTCCCAGCAGAGAAACTTTTCTGGTATTCTTTAGAAAGATATTCCGTCCCTGATTTAAACTGATACATTTTATTTATATTAAAATCATGCACCTTGTATTTAACAATATGGTGCTCGGGCTCGTGGTTTGACCCTGAAATGGATCAGAACTCACTGCCCCAGTTCACAGGAAGACCATCACAGCGTGTACGGTCGAGCGCGTTTTCGGGCCACTGTCCCTCCTCACCCATGATTGAAATATGACAACAGAGAGGTTAAGATAGTTGTGCAGAAGCAGATGCTATCGGCTGCGTCAAATATTAGAATGCACAGTTTGGGCGCACCTCGCTGGCTGGAACCTCATTCATTTCTAATGCGGGGATCCTCCGCCGGCACGCCCGCATATTTCCAGCACTAATGTGACGCAAGGAAGGTGTAGCACCGGATATAATCTTTGTTATTGGTGCAAGGAGTCAAAGGAAATGAATAACGGTCAGGTTAACCCTTACAGTGACTCCACTGCAGCTGTGCACTGCAGCTGGGCTGTAATGAGGCACACACACACATTCCATTTGGGAAGTAACCAGGTATTGTGAGTCATCAGCAAAGCCCCACATAAAAACCTGACTCAGAGAGAGAGACAGAGAGGGCTGAGGGACAAGTGAAGCTGGGGAGGAGGAGGAGGTTTGGGGGAAGAAACAGGGAGGAAAGGGAAAGAAAGCAGGAGAGGAGCGAAAGAAGGAAACAGACGGGGAGAGGAGCGCGTGTCACCGAGGGGCGAGTTAAATGACATTAATGATGCGTTGGTGTGAAGTGGCTGTGAATCTCAACAGTCTCCCTCTCCCTCTACTTGTTACCATGGTTGCTGCTGCTGCTGCTGACATCCTGATAGCAGAGCGCAGATAATGAAGTCAGGTGGTTTCTGTGTGTGTGTGTTTCTGTGTGTGTGCGAGGAGAGATGCGCACAGAAGTGTCCAAGTGTGTGTGTGTTGTGACACAACACCTCACATGTATATCGTGCTGTGAAGTGACCCGTTAAGGGCACGAGGTGTGTGCGTTTTGTCTTGCTCTATTCTTCTTTACCTTTCCCCTCCAGTTTCTTCATTTTTCCTGTACAAACAATGAAACTGTAGCCTCCAAATGGAGCAGCGTGCAGCAGTGTGCAAGCTATATCTGTAAGTTAGCTGTGGAAAAGGGAAATAAAGGCAGTCATGAATATGAAGTTGGACACTAATAAAAGTTGACAAAAGTTAAAATCACACACAGACACTGCAGTCTCTCCCAGCTTTAGACACGCAAGCACAAAGAGGCTTGCAGAGGTAAATAGTAATAAGTGGAGCGCTGAATCGATGGTCGTATGAATTAATGTCAGTTACCTTGGCAACCGGAGCTTGTGAAATGGGACACAAACAAAGCAAGGGATGAGAGAAAAGAGAAAGAGAAGGAATGACAGATATAATGAGCACAAGATTTTTTTTGAAAAGGTAAAATAATCTGTTTTCTCTCTTGCGCTGGCTGCCTCATCAAACCACCATCTTTGGTCTAAAACAGTTTTTTTTCTGTGCTTTCGGCAACAGCGTGTCCAACAGTGCCTTCCCCTCCTTCTGCAGGTGCTGCTCTGGCTTATCTTTGTATTCTCTGAGATGAGCTGTAAAGAAAAAAACCCAAAAAACAAACCTCATGCTTTTTCCTTCCTTCCCTGCACAAGACACCCAGTAAAATCAGATTTCTCAGAGTGGATGAGTCGGAAAATATCAACCTGCTCAAGTGCAGTCAGAGGAGGGCGTCTTACAAAGGCAGTGAAAGAAGTCTTAAAACCTTAAATTTTATCACCATTAAACAAAGTGTGGTGGACCTGGCTCTCCCTCCTTGTGGTGACAGTAAATTCTGATTACTCAGGGCTGAGTCTGTTTCCTGGAGCATATGCATCTCTGTGGGATAAACTCACAGACTGCATACTCTGAATGTAAAAATGGGCACAGTAGTCGAAGTGCAAGGGGCTTTCAAGCCAGTGTTCTTTTAATAGCCAGCAGAAGGTGACTCATGTATGCAAAAAGAGGTCAGATTTTATAGAAATCAATAAGAAAATGACCCTACTTCTCTCTTGTTCTGACCTCTTCCTTGTCACGTCTGGTTAAAAGAAGAATGGAAAAGAACAACAAGATCAGCATGACAACCGCTAAAAAGTCACCACTGAACTGCACAAACCAGCGGGTGACATCATGGTGGCCAGCTTTTATGTTTTACATTTGCTCAACTCAACTGTGTTTGCATGCCTGGACATATTTGTAACCCAGACAGTTTTTAGTGCAGTGCTGCTAATGTAGCCAACAGGCTGCTGGAGAAAAACTCAAGGAAAAACCAACATACAGTGTCTTGGTAAAGTGTGGTTCCCATGTCCTGCCACAAAAAAGCCTTGGAGTAGGCTGTTTGTAGAACTTTTCCATGAGGTATCCCTGACTGATGGTAGTGATTTGGAGTGGTATGCAACAATTCCTCAAAAATCTCCCATACTGACGTTGAGATCTAGTTTCCATAGTCATCAAATAATTTAATGACCCTCATTCCCCATGGATGGGGGGTGTAAAGCTGGAAGAGACCACCGCTCTTAGGATAAAAATGTTCTATCAGAGAATATAGGTGATAACTGAGAACTAATAACTTTGTATTGAATTGCAGTAAGCCGTACCTCTCAGGGGACAAATGGAGTCAAACCGTTCCATCAAAGTCTCCCTCACAGTATAACAGAGCCGCTGGACTCCCTCTTTGTACTAAACACCAACTGACTGCTTCTAGCTGACATAGAAACATGTATTAGGGGACAAAGAATTGGTGGCCCTGAGAGCTCAAAAGCACTGCAACTTAAAAAAGCACCAGCAAACAGAAAAATGCTGCAAAAGCACACAAAAGACAACAGAAGTTGGATAAAGGACAATGCAAGAAGAAAAAACAAAATCACACAAAACACAACTGAAGTGTTTTTTGGGAGACAACTTGAAGGAACAGCTGCAGAAGTGAACATCTGAAGGACTGCAGTGAACTCAGTCGATTCATTTGAGTTATGAGGGAGAAAAAGATGGAAG